GCCCCTGCCCTGCTTAGTTTCAAAGATCTTACGGGATCTGGCTTGCAGGTGGCGCCACAGTGACATCATACTATACGATACTATCAATTCCGAGACAGGAGCGTTTAGACAGAAGGGGCAGAGTGACATGTTTGTAGCAGAAGTTCCTGATATTAATATGGATGGATCTAAAAACATCTACAGGTCTGTGACTGATGAAGGAAAACAGCTCTAAAAAGTAGATATACATAATGTCTCCTTTCATCATGTCCTATGGAAATGCCTTTGTTAAGCACATTGAGTGGTATTTATTTGAAATGTATTATACAAAAGCACTTATCGGTCACTTCTTAGTGTTGTTTTTCCACACATTATATTCCTATCATTCTTGACTCTCACTACTTCCTCTCAATAAAACAAATAAAAAATGTTATCACTATTGTAGTAATACTTATGTCTAATGAGCCTGCCCACACAACGCTTGTATAGACTCTTAGCAGTTGTATAAAATGTATGAAATGTATTGCTATTCACAGTCAGCTAATGCAACACATCCTTTTGAATCTAACCTGATGTTTTTGTTTGAGAAAAAAGCTGAAAGCGTCTACCACACATTCCCATGGCCCTTGAGGCCGGCTCTCCAGATAAGGCTTATTAAAACCAAGTTGTGAAGGGCCACGTCTAAAGATAATGGACTAATTACACATTCATATTTAATGCACCATTTGTAAACAGGCATCTACTCAATGAATTAGACTGGCATGATCTATATTGAAGATTACTTTGTAATTAAAACATGCTTTAAGGAAATTCAATGAATACACTGTGAAAGGAACGTGCATTTAGAATCCACAGCTGCTTCCAAATTACTTATTCACTAATTCCATTATTACACGGTGTACAACCTGCTACCAAGTAATCTTATGTAAAAAAAATCTACATAAGTTAAGAAATATTTGATAATTTTGTGATTTTTCTATCCCCTTTTTCTATATTCTTGTATTTTTAAATCATTAGTTTTAGATCAATCACTCTAAGCCCAATATTGTAGATCATGGTCTGAAGTTTGTCATATACATATACATATTTCTTCTTGGAGCCGACAACATGATATTTGAATTGGCCATTCATAATATTTGCTCATTATAGCTCATTGGATAACATACATTTCCTCTATCATGGTCATCATCCTGGAGATAGTTTAGTGAAATAACTTGGGGAATTCAGACTCGACATGTAATCCAGACATGCATAGATACTGTAGGTGCCGACCTGTCAAAGTTGAAATGGATATTTTCATTCAATGCAGAGTTTGAGTGACTGCCCCTCTGGTCTGCCGCTCTCTGAGGCAGGTGTCTGTAGAGCACTTCTGCCTGCAAGAAATGTGTCCAACAGCAAGTATCTTTATCCAAAACAAGCCCCGTCCATGTGCATGGCGGTGCGGGGGCGGGGTGTCACGCTTAATGACCATCTGACTTTGGCCTTGAAGTCTTTGACTGAGCCCAGAGGAGGGGGCACTCGGAGAGGGACAGAGACGGAACAGCCAGAACAGAACAAGCAGACCAGAGCATGGGCAGCGGGAGAGTGTGTGTGTGTGTGTGTGTGTGTGTGTCGAGCAATAGAGTTTTGGAAAGAGCGAGGGAGGGCTGTGTGCTGCGGGGTTAGTGAAGGATGATAATTCACCGTTAAGCCTCCTAGAAAGACCAGCTGGCCCCTCTGGAGTCAGATGTCAGCCTCAGCAGCCAGAGCCCAGTGTGTGTTGGCACTAATGCACGTACAGACAAGTGTGGACGTGCACGTGAGCAAGCGTGCACGTGGTGTGTGTGCGTGTGTGCGCTGACAGTGGCCGCGTCAGACTGCTAGGAGGAAAACACCTGCACGGGAGCTGGAGATGTTATCGGTGTAAGCCCCCTATCTGAGCGAGAGTGGGGCACACTGACCATCTGCTGTTAGTCAGGGCCATTGTTTGGAGCCGGGTGGGAGAGGAGGGGGGAGAGGGGGGGGGGCTACATGGGAGAGAGGGGAGTAGAGGTTTTGGCTTTGTGCTGATCTTGACCATCAGTTGGCCAGCTGGCTTGACTTTGGTTTTCCACTTGGTCGGAAAAGAAACACAAACCAAACCAAAGTAAATGTAGCATGAGAACCACAACATGTTCACCAGCAGCATTCAGGGAATAAACAAGCGCCATAAAAAAATACATCTTTAACCTTGATTGATTGAACCCGCAACATTGATTATGCTGCGGGTCATTTTGACCCGTACTGTGTAATTGCACTCAAAACAGTCAAGAAAACAGGTTAAACCAATAACAACTTTATTTTAGATTATATAAATATTTAGAAAAGTGACATACAATACATTTTTAATTCCAACGCTATATTTAAGAAAGATTTAGTCTAATCCTCTTGTCCTCCTCTCGGGTCAAAATGACAATTCTTCCCTCCTTCTTTCCTCCTGCCATGCTTTCTCCTTCCGTCTTCTCATCCTGTTTTCCTTCTCTCTGTTCATCCTCCTCTATTCCCTTCTTTTCTCTTCCTTCCTTCCTTCCTTTCTCCCTTCTTTCCTTCCTACCTTACTTCATTCCTCCCATCCTCCTTCCTTGACCAAAGATTCGTCCTCTGAATCCTCCTTATCGTAGGAAAATTGACAATCTGGATCAGCAATAACATTGTCCTCTGTCTCTGAAAAATCCTCTGTTTCTGAAACCTCTTCCTCTACATCACTATCCCAGTTAAAAATCTGTGATAAAGCCTCCTCAGATGTCGTCATCCTTCTGGAGCTCATTTTTGGTGAGTTTGTCTAAAGCCTAGTGTACATCGACAGAGTAACTGGAGACGACTCGTTTCAAGACGGCTTTTGGCAACTGAGAGTAGATGATGGGAGATGATCAGATGCCGAAATCGGTCGATGTGAGCGCTCTTACAACTGGAGATAAACAGTCGATCTCCAGTTTCAGTCAGTCGCCCGTGTTCTACTTTTCGGGCAACTATTTGTCCTCAGATCCGGAGATATCACCCGATGTGCTCCAACAACATGTGTGTATTGCGTGTATTGCGTCCTCTACAGTTTATGTCAGAAAACACACTGTAGTTGAGGCCAGTTGCTGTCGATGTACGCGCTGTTATTCCAGAGACTGGTCTGCTACTAGGAGTTGCCCGTTTTCGCCACATTGTTGCTGTGTGCGGGGCAGCAACTCAAAGGCAACGGATATAATCAGTTACCAGTACGATGTACGCTAGGCAAAAGAGATGACATGAGAACAGTGACAAGGACAAGTGTGAGAAAGTTCCCTCTCTTCACACACCTGGCTCTGGGTCTCAGAGGCAATCAAAATACAATGTCAAAGAGACAGGTTTTTTTGGATCTTAACAACTATTTACCCACATTAAAGCGTCTGGGTCAAAATGACCCGCAACATCATCTTTGTATACAAACTCTGCACAGACATTCCACTACATATCAAAGTGTCCAGATTTTACACACCAGTTCATGACCCTAGATGAGGAAAAGTCACCAAATTTTAGCAAGAAAAAGAAAGGATAACTAGTACTTTGATCAACACAAAAACTGAAATGGGTCAAATTGACCCTTAACATAATACAAGGGTTAAACACATGCGTCAGAAGTGTGGGGCGCGACACAAAGGTCTTCACATCGAGCTAATAAACAAGAAGTACATTTTCTATATCATATCCACAGAAGACTTTGTAAGACCTTTTTGGCATAGGGTTATACAAAAATAATCCATACTTTTCCCGCCTGTATCCTGTTGAAATCCTATGGGAAAATGTGCTTGCTTTTTTTGTTCTGGCTAATGTTATTGTTGGACTTTGTTGAACAGGAATGGCGGGAAAAAAGAGAATAAACTAACAAACTAGACAATACATTGAGACCACCTGCTGTGCTATGCATTCATACTTTGCCACAGACACGGCAATACATCGAGGGCTTTCTCTGCGGCCAAAATGCGACGGCTACGGTTTCATCTGAATCATTCATAATTTAAACCGTTATTGATTTATAAATGCATATATATTAATTCACCCATGAACTGGTGTTTTCATGGGTCTCTTTCTCTCTCGTTTATCTCTGTGGGGATTCTGACATTTGAGTGGACTTTAAAGAAGATTTTTTTTTTTGCATTATTCTTAGATATCTAACATGATAATGAGACTTACTTTGTCATTCCAGATTTTAGAATGTAAAATAATATATGGTGAAACAAGAATCGAAGGTGAATAAATTGGCCTGTGCTATCCTTATACTGTCACTGGAGGAAAGAAACTGTAATTGATTAATAAATGCATATATATTAATTCACCCATGGACTGGTGTTTTAATGTTGCCATTTTTTAATTTGATGCCCCGCTCAAATTATCTCCAAGCTCGAGTTATTGTTAACTCCTAATACAATTCCTCTTCCAATAGAGCAGAGACACTTCTGAGGTGCAGATTTGTCCACGTCTGCTAACCACCGCTGCACATGGACACTCATGCTTTGTGCCAGCGTCAGGTTTGTGGCCTGGCTCTTTTACTCGTCTCTCTGCAGCTCACTAATCTATACTCGCCAGGTCATGCTGAGTCTGCTCTGCTCCCTATTGAATGGCTTGAATTATTCAGCAGTGGAAGTGTGTGTGGGTGCGCGATCGTGCCCGTGCGCTCTCATAAGCATGGGTACAGCTGGCCTGCTGGGTCCTCTAATCAGGGGACGGTCAGTCTGCGTGAATGCCGTTATTGTGGCTCTATGTGTATTCAGGCTTGTGTGTGTGTGTGGGTGTGTGTGTGTGCGTATGGGGGGTCCACGGGGGCATTGGTGATTACAGCGCGGCTCTGTGAAACGGCACGTCACGAGGTCGCCGGGTCAACAGCGCTAGAATCAGGTGCTAAGTTGTTTGCCAGGTCATATGATTTGTGCTGCGATTGTCTGCTTGAAATCACTGTGTTTTTATTGAAGATTTTTTTTTTGAGAGAGAGGCATTATTCATGTTCAATTTGGTTCTTCTTTTTCCGTCTTCTCCAGGTCGCAACGAGCTGATAGCCAGATACATCAAGCTGCGGACGGGCAAGACGCGGACGAGGAAACAGGTAACCGTAGACGACAGTGGCGGCCAATCACAGCGTCTGTCTGTCGCTGCTGTCAAATGTCACTGTGATATAATGCAGCTGTGAGGTGGCTGCACGCTCGGCTTCATAAGAACGACAAAACCAAAAGAGATCAAAATAAAATGACATGCAGACAAATGTCTACAGTGGGATTCATTACCACTGCTATTGTTTATAAAGGCTCTTTTTGGAAACTAAACTGTAATCATGAACTCAAACGAATACTATTTTTCATGGGGCCAATCTTCTTCTGATATAGTTTGAAATGTGTCAAAATATCCTCAAACATTTTTTTTATTTAGTATCAATACTTGCCCTAATTAGCATCAAATTAGCCTTAATTTAACATCATATCTATAGTTTTAGGAGTCAGGAGTAGCAAAGTAATTTTAAAAGTAAAGTAAAAGTGGTTTACTTTGTTAAGAAAAATACTTTTATTATTGGTTTACATTGTGAAGGTATTTTGAAAAAATTGTGACCTTTATTTAACATGAGTTTGGATATTATTTTTGGATATTTATTCTGAACATAATGAGTTCAGTTTTTTTGGATTGGATTCTGGATCAAAAATAACATTTTAAATTAGGTATTGCTATAGTATTCAACAGATTACCATCAAGGCTATAAGGGAAAATCCCTTGAAGCCACTTAAAATGGTCCTTAGATGGATATCAAAATTGTTGATACTTTTACGGCCATAAGATTTTGGTATTCCTGAAGCTGCCATAAGTAACTGCTGATACTGAAGTTCTCTGAGTTATAAAAAGTGTTCCAGAAAAACCTGCGCTGGAAGAGAAAACTATAAAATGCATGAATGTTATTGTTCTACCGAAGCTCCTTTAAAGCAACATGTCTGATTTGAACTAGTTGCATGATCCTGCATAGTACAATTCTGATAGAAGAGTCCTGTATCATATGTGTATTTTATGGTTTCACCTGATCTCGATCTGCGGAGGGTCCCCTGTGTCTCCTGTTGTCTGTCTTTGTTGCTCTGAAGATGTCACATATTGTCTCTCTTGTGTGTGTGTGTGTGTGTGTGTGTATGTGTGTGCATGTGTGTGTGTGTATGCAGCCTCCTTTCATTACCATGGCAACTCACTGTTTGGTCCTGTCTGCTCTCCCCCTCTCCCCTCATCCCTCTTCTCTGCTTTCTCCCAGGTATCCAGTCACATCCAGGTCTTAGCCAGAAGAAAATCCCGGGAATTTCAGTCCAAACTAAAGGTAAGGCAGCTGCAGCGTCATGTTTACCCCAAAATCATGTTTACGCATTTGCTGTTGATTAGAGGAGTTCAGCTAATGGCCAATGTGGGTAAACAGATAGTTCGAGTGCCAACTACACCAAATCAAAGTTAATTTGGAGATGTGTTTCTAAAAGGGACCCACGGTAACAACATTTGATATGAAATGTAAGTAATCAAGTAATCTTTATTTATATACCGCCTTTTCACTGCACATCGGAGTCTCAAAGCGGTTTACAATTGTTATTTGTATACCATATGAAATGGTATAGTTTCCATGAAATGTTTCAGTGTTTGAGCTGAAGCATTAAATACAAACAAATCATTTATTGTATGACAAATTATCTGTTGTGCATAACATCCTCGTTCAAGTGTTTACTTGATGCTGCAGTGGATTAGAGAAAGCCGGCTAATGGCAGCTGTAGATAAACAAACTGTCAAAAGTGCCAGTTCCACCGAAAACATGTCTTAACCATCCACATCTTGGCAACACTTAAAAAGGTTGTGCTGCTAATGTTGCTCAGTCTGTAGAAGGGGTTAAGGAAATCTCCCCCCATAACCCCCCCAACCCCGCTCATGGACATATATATATAAACCAATGCTATTAACAATCAGAAGCAAAAGTGATGTAAGAAGAATTTTCATGAGGCCAGTTTCGAAGCTTTGTATTTTTCCATCTACCGATTCCTCATTAGCACAAGTAGCTTTCTCTTTCATGACACAGCCCACAACATGTTTCTAGATAATCTCCACAACCCTTACAATAATTACCGCTGTTCATGGATTGTCTGAAAGGCAGGAATTAGGACTAAAGGCTGGCTACTGTTCAGTGTGTGGCCTGCTTTAATAATACTCGATGGAAACCTAATGAGTGAATGTGGTCCTGGCTCAAGAGCAGTCTGAAGCCACTGCTTGCTTGTTAACTCCAGGCTTGGATGGATGCCTGTCACAGCGGTCGCAGTATCCTAGGTGTCTAATTAGCCCCGTTTAGGTTTTTAGACGCTGCTCCTCCTCCTATGGGCCCCTCCCTGTCTTCCTGTCATCCTCTTATGTCCATACATCCCATTCATTTGTTCCCAGTCTATTAATCTCTCCTCCTCCTCCCTGGCTCCCTCTCTCTCCCCTCTCTGTTGGTTGTAATTAACTTCGTGTAAAGCAACAAAGGAGCGCTTGTTTTCCGGGAAGAGTGCTCGGAAAGCTGAATGAGAACACAGAGCTGGACTGCGGTGATGTTTGCCATCATAAAACAGATGACAGATGGTTCTTAAGACGGCTTCTTTGAAACACTATCTCTATGGCTAATAGAGTATTACATAACGCAGTACAGTTAGGCATCCGATAGCTGTAAAATGCACTATGTACCCCGCTATTGTCCAAGCATACATAATTATCTTGGGGAATGGGAGCCGGGCAACAGGTCTAAAGAGTTTGTAGTCTGTTGGCTCGGCCAGTAATTTGATACTGAGAGGCCACAGATTCTGAGGATTAGATTTAAATATATTTTACATGTTCTATATTTGGTATTTTTTACAGGACAAGAGCATTCCACAATATCACGACTTTAATTTGATGTGGATGGTCAAACAAGTAGTATTAGTAGTACAGTAGTAGTAGAAGCTATCAACCAGATAAAATAAAAATAAAAACAATGAATCCAAACTACCTTTTGTCGTGTTTCTAACCTTAAGTGCATGTCCTTTATCTTTTTGCAGAAAGTTCTTAAATTAATTACCAGATAGTGATAAGTTCTTTGTTAAACGCTCTACATTCTAATACTATTTAGAATAAAAACATGTTCATATCTGCCCTTGTATAATGTTATTATCTGTCCCAGGAGGAGGTATTACTCTGTACCAATTAAACTGAGTGAAACCAGCAATTAGTGCATGTGCAGCTTCTGAGACAGCGCTGGCTGCTGCTGCCGGTTACTTTTAGTTGCACATTTGCATCTTTCATGGTTCTAACATTCTAACAAGCTCAAATGCATTAGTGATTTTTTCTGTGGTTTTGCTGGTATGTGTCAGAGTGTCACTGGGAAGAGCAGAGCGTCTGTCAGAGCAGGCTCTGTCTGGACACCTGTCACTGTGGCCATGATTATTCTGGTATCTGCCGTCACAGAAAAACATACTGTGGATTGTTTTGAGTTTGCCAATGACAAATGATTTATGCCACAATAATATTTTGCATTGCTACTGTTTTTCCAATTCAAATGACAAATGTACCATAATTATACGAGACGGCTTGGCAGTGTATGTAATGTTTAGTTTCCTTCCATTGTCATGTCTCAGCTTTCATCATTGCCCTTGTATGTGATTGCCAATCAAAGAAAGTTTCTAAAACAAATGTAAAATCATCACTACAGTCAAAATATATGGTAATTTTAGAATATACCATAATATACAATCATTCTCAATTCTCTTACTCCTTGTAAATGCACAAAAAAGACAAACAATAAGTAAAATATTGCTTGAATGTTGAGTTTGTCAGTCTTTTAATACTAAGGCTTTGTAAATGGATTGTTTTTGGCACAAGCAAACTCTCACATGGAATGACAAAAAATGTTTTGCCAACAACCCTTGAAATAAGACATTTTTGCTTGTCCCATTGGCAAATCTGTTTTTAAGACCAACAACAAGTCCTTGATTCAAGCTGTTACGGCCTTAAATGTGATCTGATTTCAGTGTACATTGTGGTACACTTAATTTGAGCACATGTTGACTGCCTTAAAACACGATTTGCCAATAGGACAAGCAAATATATCTTGTTTTAAAAAGATACAAGAAATGTCTCCCTTGGAATGAGAAAAAAAGCAACAGTTCTTCAAATACGACTAAGTGGCTTTTGTCCCTTTGGCAAATCTTGTTTAAAGACATTCAGAATGTACTCAAAGTAATATTTTTAAAAAACCACTTGATTCAAGCATCTATTACTTCATATTCTAATTTTTTGCAGTGATAATGTATGAAATATGAATCAAAGTGCTAATGAGGGTTGTTTGCTCACAGGACCAGAATGCAAAGGAAAAAGCCCTGCAGAGCATCTCCTCCATGTCGTCGGCGCAGATCGTCTCGGCCACAGCCATCCACAGTAAGCTGCTGCCCGGGATCGTCCGAGCGAGCTTCCCCGGCAACACACCGGTAACACCTGCGGACGCTCATGATGGCCAAGCCACGAGGCGCTAAGCTAATGTATGTGTGTATTCAATTACAGCTGTGGCAGGGCATGATCCCCGGAGGACAGTCCAGCTCCACGGCTGAAGAGTGAGTCACTTTGACCTTTACAGACACACAAAGAAGAGCACAGACAAAAAACAAAACAAAAAACATGTGAGGTATTTGTTCTTTCGTACAATCCAATCAAGACGTGTGAATACACAACAAACAACATATATCAGGGGTGTCATCTCATTTTGGTCGGGGGGCAAGTTTAAAAGCATAAAAGCTGGTTGGGGCCTTTTTATTTATTTATTTTTACATATTTTTGTGAGTTTGGATATTATTTTCTAGTAGCTTCGGATTCATCCACCACAACTGGGCCACAGTTGTTTTGATTAAAAAACAAAATCTTGGGCCTAACTTAACTTCTAATTACATTTTAGAACAAACTAAATTATATGGTTACTTTCCTGAGAAAATAAGCTTTAAAATGAAGTATAACATGCCATAGTATTCCTTTAGTATTCAATAGTATAGGATTCCCAAGTTACTGTAATAGCGATAATTGCAAATCATTTCAGGGGCCACTAAAAATAGTCCCGTGGGCCGCATTTGGCCCACGAGCCTGAGTTTGACACGCCTGACATATATAATCACAGTCAACCGTAAATGAAGAGAAGCAGTGAGATAAAGGAATAACTGTATTATTATGAGATATGTATTTTCACTCATCGTTGGTGTGAAGCCAGAAATTTCTGTTTTTAAATTATAACATCATTGAGTCAATCTGTGGAGATCTCAAATGTGCAGTTCATGCAAGGCAACCCAGGAATTTACAAGAACTGGAGGCTTTTTTCCAAGAACAACAGAATATAAGTCTAACAAAACACTCCACTCTATTGAGAACAGGGGGATGGAAACTTCGGATCAGGGTCACTGCAGTCGTCTCTGTTTGATTTTGAAACTAGAAAAAATGATTTGACAATAAATGGCTTCACACAACCACTGACAATGAGTGAAAAAAAAAGTGTTGGCGTTTTCATTCATAACCTCCAGTTGAATGGTTGTGGCTACGGAAAGAGGCACGAAGTCTATTTAGTGACATTAGTAAAAGCTCACAAATTCCTCCACACCCTGTTGCAGACAACTCCAAATGTCATGTTTTTTAGTCACTGAACATGAATATTTTTATTTCACCACATGTATGACTCATTGTACCAATAAGTAATTTAGATTTAGATTTAATTTCAGGAAAAGAATTATTCATTATTTCAATAAAATTAACCTTGCCGTGCAACAGTTTCACATAGTTATAGAAATCACTGATTCATTGTCGCACCCATATTTTGTGTACATAAAAAAGTTGAGTAAAGTATGAACCATAGACCTATATTAAGAGTGCCATAGTTTTCGAATGCGGAAAAAGCCGATTTTAACATAAGCAAGCTGGTGCCTATTTCCTTATATGGCATTTGTTCTGATGAGGTTAGCTTGGCATTGTAACAGGTGCAGATGTGTTGCTAAGATGGTTGCTAAGGCGGCCTGGAGTTTCCCTTCGCGAATGGAGGGTTAGCATTGTCCATCTCTATACAGTCTATGATAGGGACAGAACACTCTAGCGTACACAAATAGAATAGAACATTGAGTAAGATTAACTCATTAAAAAGTCTTTACGTTTCCATCAGAATGACACAATAAAATCTGCAGCAACCATACGAGACACCACGAGACTTTTCCGTAATTTGCGGTGTCATTTATTCCCCACAAAGACCATATAATTTCCTTAAAATCAAGTTATTTCTCCCTTTTAAAGCCCCTCCCCTGCTGCCTTTAACTCTGTGACAAGTCAATAGCCGGCGATTCTCCGGTGATGTGGCATTGTTCTGTGGCTCTCTCGCACTCGCCACCTCAATGGCAGAGATGAGCTGCAGCGACAATGATAATGGTCGCAAATAGAGGACGTCTGCTTTACTCGGTTCAGTCTCTCTTGACCCCTGCGCCGCGGCCACTGTCCCTGTGCGACTTTAAAAGAGTGCAGGCCATAATGTCGCTCCTGGCTCCTTTGTGACGCTTGTGTGTGTGTGTGTGTTTCCATCCCAGCATCAAGCCCTTCTCGCAGCAAGCCTACCCCGTTCAGACAGCGGTGACCACCACCATCCCAGGTGAGCTTTCTTTCCACTGAACACGCAGTACTGTGAGCGGCCATTAGGGCGGCGGGCTCGCTGTGAGGAGGGTATTGTGTGAGCGGCAGGAGGCGAGTTTCTAGTGATCACAGACGGAAGAGTAAGGCCGCTGTAGTCAAGGTGATATCACTATGTGTAACTGGATTTGATTTTTATTATTAGCTACAACTATATTAATAGGTGGGAATGAGAAGCTAGCAGCTGGGGAGGACCCCCTGTGTAATCATAGGTATTATGCAGCAAAGATTACACGTCATTTTGCTTTACATACGGGAGGATATAAAATGCATTGCTCTTTTGCATAATTTAAGCAGCGCAAAATAAGCTTTCTTTCAGATTTAAAGGTGCCTAACCACAAAGATATTACCAATATTATGTAACTAGTTCCTGTTTGGTTCTAGCACTAATTTTCACATGCATGTATTATTGGCCTTTGTCACATATTTAGATCAGCTTTTTCAGACAGAAAAGTGGAAAAGAGAGAACCACACTCACCTAGCCAATCACCTCTTAGCCCAAAACCTCAAATAGTGACTCACAGGGTTCCTTCTTTCTACACATGTGCAAAAGAAGTGAAGAGAGCATGTTGTGGTCTGACTTGCTCATAACATATGACTATCTTTTGGGGAAAAAAAATTTGTTTTATATATAGATAAGTGAGGTACCCCATCTTTATTGTAGATTAAGATTGAGAGATTCTGTATTCGTACCACAGTCGGGAAAATTTCACTTTAGCATAATAAAAAAGCAAGTGTAAAATCTACAACTTTAGTACAACAAAGAAGCAAGAATTAAATGTAACATCTCTGACTTTAGCATAATAAAGAAGCAAGTATAAGGTACTGTATATTCTAGTGCAAGAAATATATACTGTATACATCTGTCGTACTAATAGGTATGCAACAAAAACGGCGTTGATAAATTGAATGTGCATTAATGTGTTGAATATGGCTCAGGCTACGAACCTCCCGCCGCCGCCCAGACGCACCGGGAGCCAGCGTGGCAAGGCCGCTCCATCGGCACCAACAAACTCCGACTGGTGGAGTTTTCCTCGTTCCTGGAGAGTCAGAGGGATCAGGAGGCAGTAAGTAGTCGCATATACACATACACACACACGCTTACACACACGCTCACACACAAGCGCAGACCCTGGACACAATGGACACTGGTTTATGGTGTAAACACAGATGACAGATAGGATTGTGGAGCGGAGCAGCCCTGAGTGTGGATAACCTTTGTAAAGCTCTATCTCGGCCGGGCCCAGTCTATCAGTCATCCCGTCAGCTCCAGCCTCAGCGTCATCTCTCAGCCTCACTCACTGACAGCTGCCATTCATCTTCTGCCTCTTTGTGTGGACTGTAAACCCACCTATATGCCTTTATAGCTTTTATAGACCTTCATTGTACGGGAAAAAAATAAAATAAAGAAAAAACATGTGGGAAAGGTTTACCGTCATGACTTGCATAAATTAGTCACTTTGGAAATGTACTTTTCAGAATACTTGTAATGTAATAGTTTGTTCCACTTCCAAAAACATAGTTATTTGTGTATACTGATAATACTGAGCTTGTGTCTCTGCAAAAGGCTAATAATTGCATATTATTGGGTTATAAAACGTTGTAATTGCTGGGTTTTTATCTTTATTTGAGCATTCTGTGACGTCTGTTTGTTATGCACTTGATGCTTGTTCCATTTGTAAATCTAAGTTCACGAAAGGGTTGTACCCATATCTGTAGAAGTATGTTATCTGTCCATACATATTGCATTGTAGTTTGTGCACGTAGGACAGTCGAACTTTTGTGTCCGTGAAATAACCATACAGCACACACTGTTAAAATGTTAAAATATGAGGTAATAAATGCTTAAATGAAGTGTTTTTAAATCTGCATTTTAGGTCATTCTGACTGTCTTAAAACAAAATTTCCCAATGGGACAAAGTTATTGAGTCTTATTATATTTTCTGATTCCAAGGGAGACATTTCTTGAATCTTTCTTGCTTGATCCATTGGCAAATCTTGTTTCAAGGCAGTCAAAATGTGCCAAATTTGAGCCATTTTAGACATATGTTTCATCGCTTTTTGCAGTGCATCTGTGAAAAAGTCTATCATCAAAAAGAGCAGGGTTTTGTGCATTTTGTTGTTGACATGCTCGACACATTTCCTGGTTGCACAAGGGAAATCTCTCCTGTCGCTCACGCCAGTCACTGTTGTCTGGTGCAGATATGGGCCACTATTGTGTGTAATCTTCATATCGTTTCATTTATTGTCAACATTAAACCCAAAGTTGAATTAGTAACATTAGCCAAATTATTTATCTCACCATCAATCTAACCAGCATTTCTTGACACTGGTCCAGTTTTGGTTCAATCAATCATCTAATTTTGTATTTTGTATTTCAGAATATAATATCAAGCCTTAACTAGGCTAAATAAAAATACTACTTTGGTTAAAATACCTCCATAATCATAATAAAAAACATATACAGTACTTGCTAACAATTTTTTTTTCAAGTTGTTCGAACCCTGAGGCCTATATATAGCAATGTTTGTATTTTTTAATTCATCATCAACTCTATCAGCTGTTGATGCAGTAGCTAACAATCCTGCTTCCTGGTGTTTATGTGAACAGCAGAAAGGAAGTGTTGGTCCTCAACCCACTCTCACTCCCCCAAACTAACATGCTGGTTCAGGGATATACTCTAATACATATAAATACTTCTTGCTAAATGAGTATTTTCTGTCCTCAGTACAACAAGCACTTGTTTGTGCACATCAGCCAATCGAGCCCGAGCTACAGCGACCCCCTGCTGGAGTGCGTGGACATCAGACAAATCTACGACAAGTTCCCCGAGAAGAAAGGCGGCCTTAAGGAACTGTTCAGCAAAGGCCCACAGAACGCATTCTACCTGATCAAGTTCTGGGTAAGCAACGCAACACACAATTCTAGTATAAAAGTAGGATATTTGGAGGATATTTCTAGCACAAAGGGAATCCAGTATAAAGTATGGCTTGATGATGAGAATTCCCATTGAGCTTCAAAAATGCTCCACCATACAACCTATTCATTAGATTAGATTCAAATGTATTGTCATTATAATGTCAGAGCAGTGCAGTGAAATGTATTTGCTCAAGTATTCGATAATATTTACAACAGAGATAAATATACACTGTACAAAGCAGCTATTGCAAGTATACATTCATTACATTATAATCAAGATTCAAGATTTTTTTTGCCATTTGCAGTAAAATCCCATTGGAAAAACTGTGCAAGACTACCCCAGTGTGCACCGTCACTGTTAGACACAACTTTATCAGCTTTACATTACATTAAAGAGCTTCTAAGGTGCTTTAACAGTGTGAGAAGCTGGTGGTGTCTTTAAGCAACTTCAGGCATATGTTTGGAAATGCATCTTTTTTTTTTTTTACCCAAAATCGTATGTCATACATACAGTATAAAGCTAGCTAATGCAACAGATACATCCGTCCTTTTTATCTAAATGCCTGTAAACGCCTCAAACCTGTGATGGTAAAATGTCATTGTAATCATTCATCACGCTCAGAGCAAAAAGTTTTCCTTCTACGTTTACAGCCAGTAATTTTCAAATCTGAGAAAAAATACAGCTCTTCCCTCTTGTGGTAGCATAAGGGGTTACAGGCAGATAGTTTAAGTTAAAAAATTACTGTGTTTTTCCACAGAATTTCTCCTTATAACAAAAAAAATGCATAATAAATCTTCTTTAACCCCGTAGAACTCTGACATAAAAAATATATGTTGAAAAAAAACATTTGGAAAGCAGCATTCAAAGTAATGTAGCATATTTGCTTCTTTGGATTCTTACATCCTTTAAAGCATTAAATCAAAAAATCATATTATTTTGCTATGAATTTCATGTTGCATATTTAAGATAAACCTTTATTATAACCGCGGGTGCTACGGGGTTAGTGTCTAGTTTGTCTTATAATCTTTAAAGCTGACACACAAAGGTAGTTGACCTGCAGCTCCATTCCTTGTTTTCTCAGTAAATTTAAACAGAAAATAATTTTGCTTGCAATACTGCCCCCCCCATTGGTTTCGGGCAAGCAATTCCAAACATGTAACAATATTTGACCAGATGTACAAAATTGAACGATCTGTGGCCTCCAAAAGAATCTTCATGGGGCATTGTTGTTGAGTAGGTGTTTGGCTGCTCATTTCTTTCTGGCAGAAGTAATTTTCCAAGATGCCAGGTCAAAGCATTTTCTGCTGACCGTAGCTGCATACACATTGGCTTGGGAATTTGATAACTAAAGGGCTTTGGTCTTTTCAAACCTGGAGTTCTCCTTCCTTCAGCAGTCTATATCTTTGTGTGTGTGTGTGTCACCTGGGGAATGGAGGTGGTTGTGTTTTGTTTGAACACCTGCTCGGCCCCTGACTCACGGGCCTCACCTGCGTGTCGCACCTCACTGCTCTTTTCTCGCACATCACAACAGCGGCCTCAGCATTAGAACCATCACACGGATGCAGCACTCCCGGCAGAAACATCAATACTCCCCTGGATACAAATCAAACACGGAGAAAGTTACCGGCCACGTACGAGAAAACACATAATAAAGCAGCTTAAACAGGATATGCGAGGGCTCACTGATTTTGGTCTTTTTAAATCTAGGCTCAAAAAGTATTTATTCAGACTGGCTTTTAACACTTTTAACACTCATTAGCACAGTGGCACTTTTTAAATGCTTTTTAACTTTTATTTTTGATTGCATGAATGTTTTACTGTGGTTTTATTGTAAAGCGCTTTGGTCGCCTTGGGTGTTGGAAAGGGCTCTATAAATAAATAAAAAATATTTATTGATTGATAAAGGTAGAGTATTACTATAAATACTTTCTAACTAATGATTTCAAGATTATTTACCAACTGAAAAATCATATGATTTTAGGGAGTGACCAAACACTGAATTATTAGCATTGGAACTGGCAACTCGCTCATTCAGCTTTCTGATTGGATACTCGGATACTCGACTACTTCAACGGGCAAAGTAAACATGCATTTCCCAAAAGTGGAGGATTAGATTTAGTATTACAGTGGTTGATTTATGAATTAAGTTTTATAAATGTGTCACTTCAGGCACATTTATACACATTGTCACTGAGCAGTAACTTTACAGCAGAAAGAATGATTTAATGATAGCCAGGAGTAGATTTTAAAAATACACTGAAATACTTGATTGATTGATTGCTTTATTTTACTCAAAATTGTTAAATAATTCAACAAAACTATTTCTAAAAAGACCCTTTATATAAAAACACATGCAGGTCTTATACATTTTACAAGTGTCATGGCAAAACACTGAGAAGCAGAGTTGGATGGTTGCCACATTATTGTCTGAATATTGCTAATGAAATACTGATCAAAACATACAGATACATTATTATATATATAAACAGTTTTAAGATGGCTCACTACACCAAAATTATTCAATACACCTGTATATGGACCGCACTTTCTAAGTTTCAAAAGAAAGTAAATTTTTGTCCACATATAGGCCGCACTTGAATACAAGCCACAGTTTTTCATGTTGTAATGTAGGAAATAAATAACTTTTTTAACTGGGGGTTTTACTGGGAGTGTCCAATAGCTACTCTGACATCTCTATCACAATAAGAATACACATATTAGCTGTATCGCTATATAAGGGCTCAAAGAACTAGAAAAAAGTAGCGGCTTCTAATCCGGAAATTACGGTATATTCCAGCCACCCCCAAAATAACAGCCTTCTTTTAATGAGACAAAAATGTAAAAAACCAAGTACTGCTTAATTACCCGACAAGCAGTACTAGCTTCTTTACATTTGAGTCTGATTACAAGAACCTTTTAACTTTTTACATGTAATACGCCTTGTTAGTTGTTGACGCCATGATTTAAATATCAAATGTGGCTGATTTGTGAAATGCTCGTTTCCAGGCGGATCTGAACTACAACGTACAGGACGACCCCGCGGCCTTCTACGGCGTCAGCAGCCAGTACGAGAGCTCGGAAAACATGACCATCACCTGCTCCACCAAGGTCTGCTCCTTTGGCAAGCAGGTGGTGGAGAAAGTGGAGGTGAGATGTGACTACACTGTGTGAAAGAAATGATAAAATATGGATAGATTTGAACTTATAGTGAGTAAAAACCACTTAAAACTAGACTTGCCAATGGTACAAAGCCAGTTCGTCTCCTTTCAAGAACTGTTGCTTTTTTTCATTCCAAGGGAGAACATTCTTGCATTGTTTTTTTTTTTTTTTTACCACAAAAGTACAACCCCATACAGAACAAACATAACACCAATACAAGAAGACAAAAATATATAATATAATAATATGAATAAACCTTAATTTTCTTAGTAGAAAATAAACAAAACTAAATTGTATCCTTTATAAACAGGATCATTTTGCTTTGTCCCATTGGCACATGTTGTTTTAAGGCAGTCAAAATGTGCTCAATTTAAGACACATTTCGCTGAATTTGAGCAATTTTCGCCTTGTTTTTCATCACGTTTTGCAGTATCGTACCCGTCTCTCCAGATTCTGAGTTTTCTGGTTGTTTTTCTTTCAGACGGAGTACGCTCGCTTTGAAAATGGACGCTTCGTTTATAGAATCAGCCGCTCCCCGATGTGTGAATACATGATCAACTTCATCCACAAACTCAAACACCTGCCGGAGAAGTACATGATGAACAGTGTGCTGGAGAACTTCACTATTCTGCTGGTAAAACACATTCATTTGATTGACAAGTCCATCTTTAGTGCTATTAACTCTACGGCGTGTACAGGGCGTCTTTCAGAGCACCGAGAAACAGGGCACTTTCCATTCGACGTCATATACTGTATTTCTAAACGATTTGACACAATTTGGTAACAATGAAAGACTTTTGGTCCCATAAGCTCCTCCCCTTTTTAACAAAAATTTTACACATTTTTTTGATATCTTCAATCTTCAAAAAAAACATGATATTGCATTGAATCAAAATATATACAGTATATTTATCAAAAAAAATCCTCTTTTTGTTTTTGAAGCGCTATCGAATACAGAGGCCAACCGAGGTATTCCTAAAATGTTTTGTCCTAAACTTTAATGTAAAATTATCATCAAGATTTTATACTTTAGAAATGTTTTATTATGCCTTATTCCTTCTCTACTTTTGACTTGTCTGTGACTTCCTGTTGCTTACATGGCAATAAAAAGGATTCTGATTCTGAATATGGTCGAAGAAAAAAAAGTTGTATGTACTGTATGTATTATATTTAAAATCACCTCTTCGGCAAAATGTAAACTTGACTTAAACTCGTGAAAATTTTAAATTCTATTTTTTTCATTTCACGCACCTTTGTTTTTTTGCAGATAACGAGCATATTATTTATGTTCAAAAGGGGACTGGGAATTTGGCTTTTCCAGAACTATGGGCTCTATGCACACACCACTTCCACGTTTTAGCCAAAGCCCCACTTCACTTCCTGTTCGCGGGAAACAGCTTGAGTTTCACTGGAGTTCAGCAGTGGTTTACACGAGTTTCTCAAATAATGCTCAAATGGGAATTAAACTGTCAGGATACTGGGCATTTTTGGGACACAACAGTGCTCTTTGATTGTGCGTTCATTGTGCGTTCGTTGTGCTTTTATAAAGTTATCTAATCGCTCTGAGTGGCCACAGTCAAAGCTCTACCTCAGAGAGAAAGCACAGCGACACTTTAGGGTCAGTTTCACAGCTGAATGTATCGATCTAATTACTAAAAAACGTCACTAAAACTCACCTAAATGCCATAGGATAGCATAGGCAGGAAGTGAACGGGCTGATCTGCGTTAACAGGAAATGACGTCACGCCTCCCCGTGCATATAGCCCATTGAACCGTGCACGAGTGAGACCAGGGGATGCTTCTTTACGAACACATATATTATTGTGCGAATTTTCTTTTGAAACTTAAGAATCAGATTTGACCTTCTTCCTTTAGTTCTAGAGAGCCACATTATCTTACATGGTTCTTGGTGTGAAAAACAGCAGCGTTTAATTTTCGAAGACTACACAAAGCAATGCCTCGTTCATCTCCAAATGTCTTTTACGTGCTCACATATTTCTAATGTTGTATTTAGCCTTAACCGCCGCTGTTATTTTCTCAGGTGGTCAGCAACAGAGAGACCCAGGAGACGCTGCTGTGCATGGCCTGTGTGTTCGAAGTGTCCAACAATGAACATGGGGCGCAACACCACATTTACCGCCTGATCAAGGAATAACACACAAACTCACCCCGTCCCACGCTACAACCATGGCCTTTTGAAGAGTCTTTCAGCCAAATACTTTAGTAAAGGAACCAGCTGCCTTGTTTAACACTGCCCATAGTCCTAAGTGCTTGGACAGGGCAGCACGGCAAAAACTATCAAACCGAAAACCAGGAGGATTCGCGACAAAAACACGACCAAAGCATCTCTACCCCCAAACACACGCCACCATTTTGTATTTTTTTGCTTTCTGTTATGGTGCGTTGGGGATCTTGGTCCTTTTTGGGAAATTCCTCTCCGGCGATCGAGAAAAAAAAAAAAACGAGACTGGCCTAATATGTGTGTGTGTGCGTAAAAAACCTGTCAATGGACGTTGAAAGTTCAGACCCTGTGTTTCACCAATATCTGCAGTGATTTTTTTGTACAGAAAGTTAAATGTGTGTCTTCTAACGCAAAAAGGTCTGTCCCAAAGAGAAGCCTCTTGTATGTTACAATGAGTATATCATGTAAACAAGAATATCAGAAGTAATGAAGACTATATATTAATTCTAAAGATTTAAAAAAGGAAGAAAATCAGGTATCGTCATTTGGTTTTTGAATGGTCAACAAAGAATTGCCCATTGAGAAGCACTGTGAAGCCAATGTGTAGAAGTCATGTACCAACTTAATCAATTTTATATGTCGGACAGAGATAGAGCTTTAACATGATGTACATATCAATCACTAATATTTCCCATTTTCAAATTAACCATATCCAGCCAAAACCCCGACAGTAAAAGTTCATTTCGATAGATTATCATGATGGACTTTACGCTATGTGCTTAAAAAAAGAGAATAAAAATCATTATAATATATCAATCAAAACCAAAAAGCAAACGTGGTCCAACTGCATGAAGTGCCTTTTATAAATGGGAGCAGTCACTTTGGGAGAAAAACAAAGCTCAGCAAATGTTTAAAGGTAATTTTACAATTTTGTTACAGCAGTCAGAGTGTAGAGGCCAGCCTTATTTTCTGTGCGTGCAAGAGAAATGAAAAAAATAAAAAAAGCCTGAATAGATTTATGAAGCACAATGATAAAGTCTGATGTAGGCTGTCACGACTGTCTTTGGACGATTTAAACAAGTGCTCTTTGACGCCCTCTGGTGGCAGGTCCGCAGAAAAAGCCGTGCGCAAGTCCCAGCTTTGGTTTTTCTATTGTGATGTCACATGAATCACCAATTTTATTACGTCACCGCAAACAGCCCGGGGGGTGATGAGCATAGACACTGCTATAGACTATGAAGGGACCATTCAGAAATACACAGATGGTTTAAAGCTGGGGTACGTAACAATAAATAATCCTTGTCGTTTGTCCTAAATTTTGTAAAGGTTAAATGTGAACAAATCAGATTTTTTTTTTAATCTACTTGTAAGACTATTTTATGTGTTGTGCTGAGAGCTGATCGGCTGAGTGAGGGTGGTCCAACTCTTTTTCATTTCTGTCTGAAAAAGCTAACATATAGGTTTACCTAAATATACATGGATGTGAATACTATAAACAAATTGTTTAAGTTAATTAAGATACTAGTGAGATGGATTTATTACATACAACAGTGAAATTATTTGTGGGTTGAAAGTTAGGTAACCCAGCTTTAAAAGAGACCTGCAAATTGAAAAAAAAAATAGTACAAGAATACATTAGCATACGGTGGTTAAGGCCATGCAGGTATAGCTACTGCTAATCAATCTATATTGTGTGAGTTCTGAGGAGTGTGTCGAAGATGCCAACAAGGCTTTGTAATTGATGAATATCTTATTTAAAATATGTTTGTGCATTTGAACGCACTGTATTATAACAAATATATTGTTTCAAAGAGAGATGGCACTATACATTTGCAGAGATGCTTATGAAGATAATCACAAGCACTGAATATACAACATGACTTAATGGTAAGGGTTTTATTTGTTTATTCTTAACATGTAGAAATCCTGAAGCACGTAGACAGCCACTGACGCTTACATCTTTCAACACACTGAATTTGATTTGAAAAGTGAAGCCGTTTTTGAAGTTGTCAATATTTTCTTGTTGTATTGTTACCGTCGTCTTGTCTGTGCCAGCTGCATATTTATCTGCTTTTCTGAACATGTGGCACTCAAGTCCTGTCTGCAATCACGAATCCAAAATGGCCTTGAATATCCGGACCCAGTGTGTGCACACAAAGGGTTTCTACGGTGCTTTGTATAAAAGTGACAATAACCTTTATTACAGATGTTGTGTATATTTGATATTCTAGTGTTTATCCAATTTTTGTGAGAATATCTTTAGAAGAGCCCCATCTAGTGGTGTGTGTTGGTACTGCACAGGGTCTGATCTTTGCTTTGTACCCCCCTCCCTCATGGCTACAAGTATGGTAGTAATTTTCTAGCTTTGTAGAAACTTTGTACCCATATGCTATTCACTTGAAATAAATGGTCAGTTAAAATCTATACATTGTTCTATTTGTGTCATTTTTTCATTCGATTAGTTTATACACCAAACCTGCACAACACATGTCTTCACATAAATCAGTATAAGACGCATTTCCCAAAAAATAAAGGAATTATTTATTTATGTCACGCATGAAAGATTATTAACACATCACACTTTAACTTGCAAAAACAGATGTCTCTGTTGCTTTTTAAATTTTTTTTATAAAGCTTTGTTAATAGTTAATAGTTGAACGGCTTTGCTCAAAGAGGGGTGAAGCTTTGTTTTTTATTGCATTCAAACAAATCTGACTTTTCAAAAAACAATTGACTAAGAGAAAATTCCACATGTCACATGTTCAGGGGCATTTATCTATTTTTTTATGATCTCTTCATACACATTCTCACAGAACTGCAAATTCGAAAAAGGCAATGATTAATGTTTTTCTACTTCCATATAGGCAAAGGAAATGTATTTGAGCTTAACAAAACAAGATAGAAACAATCACACAGGGCATTAAAATCACAGAACCGTTTGTGTATGAGCTCATCTCACATTTTCAGGAAGACTAAATCATGTTATTTAAAATGAGATTCCTTTTTTATCTTGTTTAAGACAATAAGGATACGTATTTCTGCGATTTGTTTTAACTCAGGATGGTCTTCTTTGTAAATGGTACCCACAACTCTATCATTCACCACCAGAGGGAGCCATTGCTAAAGAATACTTCTCTCTGGACCTCCCGTGATCATCTGCTTGTGAAATGAATTTACGACGTGTATAATTTAAAGGACCTTTGACGTCAAACAATAATAGGCTAATGGTACAGTCATGTGCGGGTGCCATTAAGTAGTGAGGATTGGAATTCCCTGAGTGTAATCCATAATGTGAGTGCTGCTGTTAAAGCCTATCGTCTTTACTGTAGTCCTAAGCACTATTGCACTAACATACGCATATCTGAGCTGGTCACGAGACGTAATGGAGTCTGCGGAGGTCAGGGGCCAGCCGTATGGGATCGTTAGTGCGACAATCTGCGAGTTACACAAGACACATCCAGAGCAGAAAGCTGATTATGCCCTGCCTGTTATGTGACAATGGATTTGAGTCAGAGTCAGGCACAAACAAATAAAGATGGACTATGACGTTTACCGATGCAAGATAATCGCTTTGATCTGGACTTAAACCACATGTAGCATATAGTACTATACTTATATAATAACAAATATGTTTTGAATATTACATTTACATTCAAGTGGACAGGGCTGCCGAATTTTTAACTCATGTTGATCAACACGAAGTCGAAAACTATTCCCATTGACTGCTGAACGCTGATCCAGTCTTTTTCACCTGAGCTCGGAGCGCGTGTGTAAAAGAGAGAAGGGGGCGTTTCCCATCCGGCCAGAGCACAGCCTGTGAGTGTGATCACTGCTCAGAGCCTCACTCTCACTCTGTCCCACTGCGGAGACACACTGCGTTCTTCAGACAAGCGTCTGTGGACGGGACAGAGGACCTGGGGAATGAGGTGTGGGACTCACGCGAAACAGACTCACTCCAACTAACTTTTGTATTTGTTTTCAACTTGGACGTCGTTTGCGCGCAATGTGCTGTGCGTGAGGTGAGGATGGACATGCTCTATAGAATCTATGGACTTGAAGAAGCCTGAGGGAGCACTGAGCAGATCCTGGTCCTGATGGAGGAAGAGGGCAAGATCTCAGTGTGGGTCTGCCGGGAAGAGAAGCTGGTCTCTGGGCTGACGCGCCGCACGACCTGCGCTGATGTGGTGGGCGTTCTTCTGGAGGAGCAGGGAGCGCGGCTTTCGGGTGCACAGCAGTCATACTGTATAGTGGAGAAATGGCGCGGCTTCGAGCGCATTCTACCCAACAAGACGCGCCTGGTGCGCCTGTGGGCAGCCTGGGGAGACGAGCAGGAGAATGTACGTTTTGTACTTGTGCGTAATGACGCTTCTTTGCCAAGTGGACCGCGCAGCGCCGAAGCCAAGGTGGTCCCGAGCAGAGACAGCCCGGCAGGACCCCGGGGACATGGCTGGACCACAGTGTCACAGGACAAACAGCGGCGCGTGGTGCGCAAAGCCTTTAGGAAGCTGGACAAAATAAATCGGAAAAAGGAGCAGGTGGCGCACAAGGACCAGGCGTCTGTGGAGCGAATGGAGACATTAGTCCATCTCGTGGTCTCACAGGACCACACCATCCGCCAGCAACATCAGCGCATGTACGAGTTGGACCGGGACATTGAGAGGTACGAGGCCAAAGTGCACCTGGAGCGCGTTGAGCGCCACGGCCTTAACTATGTCCAGGACACCTACCTCCAGGACGCAGCGGACGGCGCATGTGCTGAAGAGCGGCGCAGCGTGCAGGAAGCGCTGGCGCAGTTTGAGGAGTACGCACAGCGCTGTGAGGAGCTCGTACGCGTCCAGGACGAGCTGGCAGAGCGCGAGGAGCTGGTGGACCGCATCACTGCTGAGATCCAAGAAGAACTCAACCAGCGCTGGATGGAGCGCAGGCGCGACGAGGCAACACCTGGAGACGGATCTGCAGAACAGGAGGCGCGTGCAGGTGACCCAGAAGAGCCAGACCTACTCGTAGAAGAAGTTTCAGAAAATGAGCTGGTTTTGGAGCAGGAGAGGATCAGAACTCAGTTGGACACCAGTCTTTACATCGGACTGAGACTGAAAACAGACCTGGACTCCACCCGATCTCAGCTGGACTCCAGTCTAGCGCAGTGGAAGCACCGAGAGCAGGACCTGTTGAATCTGCTGGACCTCCTGGCCCGAGAGGACCAGGAGGACTGTGTGGCTGAACCTTCGGACACAGGGGTGGAGACTGGAGGCCCAGAGGAGACACTAAGTTCTGGAACAGAGCTAGACCACAATGGGACCTGGGTGGAGCAGGCTCGAGGCCTGTCCAAGTCTTGCACTAATGACGAGGACTCGGACACTGGTCTCAGTTCCATGCACAGCCAGGACTCCGACCGCTGCACTCCGGTCTGCGAGTCTCTGGTCTAGTCTCACATTTAGATCAGTATTGGCTATAAGCCCTCCTCACAATGCACCTACTTAGAGCAATAAGTTTAGTTTGGCCCAAAAAGCCAAGGCCTATCTCCCAGCTGGATTGGGTCAGTCATGGTCCAAGTTTAGTCTTTAAAGGTTTATTACACAGGGTCTTCCATTTATCTAATGTAATATTGTGCAGACACCACAATTATTTGAAAAAAACAAATAACAAATAGGCGGTTATTGTAAGTTATTGTTATATGGTGACAGACACATAGCATCACAAATTAATATCCAAATTGAATTAAAATTTGAGAGTGCACATCGATGTCATAACGCGGACAATTGTATGTTAACACTCGCCTAATGTACTGTATGTGCTGCGTCTTAAGAAGTGCAGCTGGAGCGTAATCCGTGCATCACCAAAAGTGTGACATCAGGAGCACTATTTTTAGTTGGGACTCTCTTCCCGGTCGGTCGTTGGTGCACAGCAGTATTCAGTGTGGCTCTTTTGTCTCACACTCACACCATCACCTGGGGTCAGCGACTTCATACACTTTCTTGGCTCGTTTGTGAAAGGACTTACTATTGTTTTGACAGGCATATTTCAGTGTTGCCGATATTTACTATCAGTAGCATTTACTCACTGTTATGGAATTGAAAAACAGAGCATGTTCGGATTACAATTTATATCTTAACATTTTAATTTGAAAATCTGAGTTGGAATAAATGTTTTCATGGATTTCCCCTAAAGTTGCTGATCTCTGTTAAATGCTTGTGTAAACGCTGTGTGGCTGTAAGATTTGAAAGATGTTTGGAGATTATTATAAGTTCTTGAGTTTAGCTCCGGGATGCAATGAAAATGTGTAATATGGTTCATAGCTGGTGCTAACCCGGAGAGATGTATTTCAAAGATATGGACATACAACCTTTGATCAAGCAAATACTATGCAGAAGTTATAACAAGTTTAAAGCAAAAAGTAAAGATCAAACTGAGCTGTACTTGATGGTTTCTCCTTTTTTTCTCACAAGGACAGCTAGAATCACAGTATTGGAAAGTCACTGTATGTGTGTGTGTGTTCCTATGTCCCATGCTTTTGAGTCCTGTCACAATAATGTCCCAAACACACCTCACATACAACTTCACGAGCAAGCGTTCAATAAAAAACCTCAATGAATGTCTGTTTTTGGTTTTTCAGGTCACCTTTGCAATCCAAAGTTTAAAAGGCAGGTAACAGGAATTTCTTGAGTTATGTAAGATGCCATTTAAAAACAATAGACGGTATTGTGCTACAGAAGAAAAAGCTCTCAAAACCTTCCTTGACAAAACGACCCGAACCATAATATTTGTCTCGCCTCATGCTTTTATTCCCTGACGACCTGTGCTGGAGGATTTGAGCCACACAACTGTAATGTGAGCTGCTCAGATACAAAGTGTTCCTCTGCATATTCACGACAATGAGAATGCCTCTCATTTTTATTTTATTGCTTGCTATCCCAGTTTGACAGCACTTGCATGAGCAGACACTCCTTTCCAACTAAACCACAACACTCAGCCTTTAACTGATCAGTGTCTGTGCGTGTGTGGGTTTTAAATACACACACACAAAAAATACATATATTACTGGTTCTAATCACAAAGTTAGAACTGGGTTACCTAACTTTCAAAGCACATTAACTATAACATGGAACTAGCTATTAATCTCACATTTACACATGCACTTTTGGCCTCAGTTTTTTCAGACAGGAAGGTTGAAAAAGAGAGGACCACCAACACTCAGTCAATCGTCTATCAGCCCAAAGCATCAGATATTGACTCACAGGGCTCTTTCTTAAAAGTATGCACAATATATTGTTTTATCTTCAAGACGTTGAGGCCTGATTTTGTGTTATTTATGAAACAAAACAGTCTAGTACATCAGCTTCAACCTAAAAAGAAGGACTAGCACAACTTGTCATCACAATCGTCCATTTCAATCACTCTAGAGGGAAATATTTACAAGAAATGGTGCCAAAACGCATCATATCACAAAGAATAACCCTTTTGTGGAGCCAGTACTGTACTGTGACGGGAGAGCTCTGTGAATACTTGAGCTGCCGTTGTGTCCTTCGGCAAGACACTTCACCAACTTTGCCTCGTGTGAGTCTGGTGTGTGGCTAAAAGACTGGTCGTGGTCGAAGGTTGTATGGAGTGAATGAATGATCCAATGTCTAAGAGAGTGTGCAGTAAAAAAAAACAAAAAACGCCATAATTATTATCATTATTCGGGGGGAAAACGACATGTATAAATTATTAAGCAAAACAGTTTAGAGCCCCAGCTTTAGCCTAAAAAAAAAAGAATTGGCACAACTTGAAATGATTCAGTATAATATGTCACCACAATGCTCTTTTTCAATCGCACAACAGGGAAATATTTCATAGATATAGTGCCAAGATTACAAGGAAAAACTCTTTTTGTGCCCCAGTTACGCCGCCTAAAATCACAGCTACAGACCATGCTCTGTGACGAGGCACTATAGTTTAGATTAATTTCTTACAAAGCGTTTTACAATTGTTGTGCGCTTATGCCACACCTATTGTACATGTTTTTCATGTTAGGGGAAAGCGGAGCACCCGGAGGAAACAAAAGGTAGACATGGGGAGAACATGCCATCTCCACACAGATGGAATCAAACCCAGGACCTTGTTACGGATCAGATCCGCTGTGGTCACTTTCGCTCACTATACGCAGAGGAACTGACATATCCTCCACACCCAAAACCTAAAATAAAAATCTGTTGTGTCTTAAAACGCACAGCTAAGATAAAAAACAAAAATATGCACAACATTCACATTTACACTGCCACCACACTGCAGCAGGACACACGTTATAAAAAATGACTTTGGCACAACTTCAGCCGCACTGTCTGGGCTCATAAATCAAAGAGGACGACCACAGGAGTCTGCCGTATAATATCTATATTCATTAGTTTCATGCGGCGCAGTCAGGGAATGGCTAAAGTTTACATAACGGGGCCCGAGTCTGCAGGGTGCTTCTGTTTGTGGATCTAGAGACTTGGTAATTAGGAGACTGGCTGATAAGATGGAGGTGGGTTACGCAACGAAATAAACAGTTTGTGTTTATCGGAGCATGGGTCGTTATCATATGAAATTAAACATGCACTACTTTACATGAAGGTGGCTATCACTCAAATGATAGACACGTGATAGACAACAAAAAGGGTTTATAGGCATCACTATTTTACCTGATATATTTGTGCTTTACAAGTACAACATATGGAAGAAGGAAGATTCTGAACTACACAAACAGTACACACCACAGCTTTAACCTTGAAAAATACATCGCAATTATAAATATTGGTTTTCTCATTTGTTTCTCATAAGCGCTGTGTACATAAACAAAGTGTATCGGAAAGAGAATTTTCCTCAAGGCTATTCATGTTTGCTGTCCCAGATGTTAAAAATGGTCTACCTAAAAGCAACATTGATAATCAGTACAATATAGACTAAAGTAAAGGGAGTTTTAAAACTTTTCATGGGTCAATCCAAACATACAGTAACTGTTTTGTTCAGAAAAAGTCTACCAGAAAATGATGTCCAACCTCAGCTTTAAAGTAATTCTTTAGTCAAATAATGCATAATTAAATCCACAGATGCAAAGATGAGCTTCAAACACATTTATAATCATACATACTTATTTATTTACTTCGAGTTGCTTTGTGTATGAACTGTGCTATACAAACAAACTTGCCTTGCCTACCCTACTTGCGGCCCCCGGGTTGCAATTGTTTCTTAAATCCGGCCCTATTATTACATTACTAAACTATTCCACAAATAGTTTTTATTTTTGTATTGTCTTCTTGTCTTTGTGTTAAGTTTGTTTTGTTTGAGGTTGTACTTTTGTGTTTTAGTTTCATGTTGTGTTCTTTTTGTGTTTTCGTTTCATGTTGTGTTCTTTTTGCGTTAATAAAAAAAACTATTCCACGAAGGCATGTCTTCTGCAGCTTTTGTGATTTTTACATTGACTGGGGTTGAAGTTGGGGAAGGTGATAAATCCCCTCCCAAGGCTGTGATATTTCCAAGACTGGCCCACACAGCTGCCCTGAGTGTGGACACGTACAGTGTAAGTGTAATCCTTGTTCGAGCTCTCTCTGATCTCATGGAGCGTCCCATCTGGGTCTGTGTGTGTGACCTGATTCACACACTGCACATACTGGATAAGGACAGCGGTATATCTAATTAATACTATGACTGACTATTCCTCCATTGCTTCTTTTCCAAAACTAAAATGGCAAGAAAGGTAGAGGTTGAGGTTATAAAAGATGAGGCAAAATGGTAAAGTTAGCAGCTAGTATCCAGTCCATTTATTAGTGCATAAAGTTAGGCATAAAACTTAAATATAAAACAAGTATGAAATGCCTAGGATTACATTTGATATGTGATATTATCGGTGATACAGTCAAGCAAAGGACTATAAGCCTTTACTTTATTCAAGTTCACACCATTAAATCATGTCTTGATCAGTTAAAACTACTTTTCTATTGGTTTTGTTTTGCTCAATCAGCTGTTGAGAGTTACATAACAACAACAAGATGAAAACCTGCGGCTAATATTCAACTGTGGCCTGTATTTGGACACAATTTACTCAAAGCTCTTGGGTCTGGATTTGTTTGATAAACTCATAAAAATAAGTATTGGGATTTATTATATGAAAACATGGAGAGAAGAGAACCTAGACAGCTCTAAACTCAAAGTAATTTTGTTTCTCTTTCTCCTTTTCCTGAGCACACAATAACCCCAACGAGACACTGAAGGTTGTAGGCGCTCCCTTGTGAGCCCCTGAGTTGTGCGTGACCCAGAAACACAGAAGTAATAGCGTCTTAGCAAATCGCAAATAGCAAATCAAACAAGATTAACACCGCCTCACTGTGATTAGAGACGTTAGAGATGGCCAGTCGATCAGAGCTGATGTACTCGCTCACCAATATTAGATCCACTTCTACAATGTATA